CCCTCAAAATTCAGGACTTGATTCCTACTTTTCATTCAAATTCTAATTTTACAAAGGCAGGTCCCCAATTTTCACCAGAAAATTCAGTGGGTTCTGGAAAACAACTGCTCTTTGCAAGCACATCGCAAGGGTCCTTGCAGTATCAGTGCAGCTCTTGCCAGATTTAGTCTTTCTCATTGACTTATTTGTGAGAATAAAGTCCATAAACTCACCCACAGCCTATCTGGGAATGCAAAATAATTTAATTTCCTAAATAGAAAACTCAGCCAAGTATCCAGGGAGGAGAAAACTAACACCAAGAGGGTGTGAAATGCCAACTTGTTGCTTCACTTCAAGTAAATTTTAGAACAATTTTAAACATTTCTGAGGCAACTTTCTATGATAATCCTTTAGAAAAATTCTGCTTTTCCTTCAAAATGACCAATTCTCAGAAAATGGGAGCCAATAGTAAATAATGAATGCTCAGGATGAGAAGCACAATCCAAGAGGGACAGGAGAACCCATTCTATGCAGGCACTTCCCACCCCATCCACAGGAAATCTCTCTCTGGAGAACAAGGAATTCCTTTCCAAGAGCACCTGCTTTTCCTCTTTTAAGCAAGCACATCATTTGGGACGAGTCTGTAAAGTACCATAAATAACAGGCTCTGGAGGTGCCTCTTGTTCTACACAAGAGCAGCTCCAGACTCTGAGGATGTTCAGCAAGAGGAACCTGCAGGATTTTGATACAAATACAAACCAGGTCAAGGTTTGGGCAGAAAATTTCATGAGTTAAATGGCCAGTGCACATTCCCAGCCATTCCCTGGAGAATTCTTATTTTAGAAGCCAAGGAAGGTTTGGAACTCAGAGTTCTGACACTGTCTGAACACATCCAAGGCTTTGGAACTGCTGAAGGAAGAGGCCTAATAAAAAATATTCCCTCTGGAGTAATTTGAATGATGTACTGTTGTATCAGAAAGAATATAAGGGCTGGGATGCAGGAATATAGGCCCAAAATTGCCCAATTTTTTTCCCCCCACTGGATGTTCCAAAGGTGTTTTTCTGAGTTTCTGGAGCTTCGTGGCCTTGCCATCCTGATTTTGTTGGAATCATCACTCTGGATATTCTTACATGACTTTAATTCCTTTCAGAGTAAAACCCAAGCGGTGCTCATTGAGATTTAATTATAACTATGGGCTTTTATTCTGAATATCTCAAGTCAGAGAGGCTTTGGCTGCTCCAAAGGCTCCTGGGGAGAATTTCAACCCACTCCTGTTTTTCTGGATGCTGATTTCCAGTCACTCCACCTTCATCGAGATCAATATTATTTTTTATTAGTCATCCATTCATTTGACTCACCCAAATAAGGGACATTAGTGCAGCAGCAGCTTACGATGATGAAGTCAAAGGCAAAGAAAATAAAGACTTGGCAAGATTTAGGGGAAAATAGGGTAAGAGTTATATAACAATCCTGCAAATCCCTCAAAGAAAAAAGAAATATAAAAATTACAAACTAAAAACTAATTTCTAATGAAGTAACAGAAAAATCATAATTATGATATATCAAATGTAAGGTAAAAGTAAAAATAAAAATAAAAGCAGGCAGAATGAGTTGAATGCATCAGCTTCATGCAAAATAATTTACTGGGTTCTAGAGTGAAGTAGCAGTGAAAGTAATTAGGGTAGATCAGGACTTTGAGTTTTTAGCAGTGCTTTTATAACTAAATTTTATATTTTTTATGATTTTATCATTACATTTTTAAACATGCTCAAGTTCAAGATGATAAGGAATTTCAAAAAAATTCACAGCCATTTTTTCCATGAACTAAAGCTCCTGGAGCTTCCCTGCCTTCCCATCTGTGCAGAACTAGGGAGGGAGTGAATAACCTCAAGCAATGACCCATCACATCCCAGTAAAGCAACTCCATGGAACAGGAAAAGCATGTTTTCTACATTTGGAAATCGAATTTCTAGGAAGTCTCTGTGCAGCCTAACTGAGAAATGTGCTGTGAGATGATGGAGAGTGGATTACAGGGGACAGTGTTTAATTAAAGACTTGTGAGCATCTTTCATTATTGTGGAGAGAAATTCAATTAAGGGCTGGATTACATCCCTTCATGCTTCATTATGTAGCCGGCACCTGCTATTAATTGGTTTTTCCACCACCTTGCTCTCTTTTGTTTCCAGAATACTTAAGTTACAGTAATTTTTAATTCCTCTTAGTAAATATTAATCAGCAGAAGAACAGATTGAAAGATTCTGTAAGAGGAGTTTTACTCAGGAAGGATAACTTAGGTGATCTCATTGCAGTTGTGAAACTCCTACTCAGCACTGGCACTTCCCAACAGAATCACAGAATATTCTGAGTTGGAAGGGTCCCACTGACATCCCAGAAGGATAAAAGGCTCATCCTGACAGAGACCTTGCTTTGAAAAGCAGGGATAAAGCAGATCCAAATATAGTGGCTCCTCACCAAGGTACCAAATGCCACAGGAATTACTTGTGCAGAACCATTTCTTTTGGACAGTTGTTCATTTCCCAGTTTAAGGTTCCACTGGCCGTGTTCCTGTGCTGGGAAGGAGTCATCGGTCTCCTGCTCCACCCCATTCAGCATGGAGTGTAAGAACGAGGGTTTGGCTGCTTTGGCACAGTTTATCCTGCTTTTCAAGAAGGAAACTGTGCAAAGTTGTCCTTGAACCCCCAGAACCACCAGCCCTTCCTCTGGCAGCAGCAGGACCCAGAATCGCAGAATATGCTGAGCTGGAAGGGACCCACAAGGATCACCCAGCCCAACCCTCAGTCCTGCACAGGACCATCCCCAAGAGTCACACCAGGTGCCCCAGAGGATCATCCAAACACTCTCTGAGCTCTGGCAGCCTTGGTGCTGTGACCACTGCCCTGGGGAGCCTGTTCAGTGCCCAACCACCCTCTGGGGGAAGAACCTTTTCCTGAGATCCAACCTAACCCTGCCCTGACACAGCTTGAGGCCATTCCCTGGGTCCTGTCCCTGGTCCTCACAGAGCAGAGATCAGTGCCTGCCCCTCCTCTTCCCCTCCCCAGGAAGCTGTAATTGCAATGAGGTCTCCCCTCAGTCTCTTCTTCTCCAGCTGAAGGAGCCAACCCTGTTCAACACATGTTTAAGGACTCAACTTTTTGTCTTCCAGCAGAACATGGATTACCTTGGGTAGCTCTTCAATCTGGTTGGCATCGAGATAAAGCTCCTCCAAGGTCCTCTCAAAATTGAAAACCTCCTTTGGCACCTGCTGCAGGCCACAGTGAGAGTAATCCAACACGGACACAATCTCTTCCTCCCCTCGGAAACACCGGCACGGCACCAGGCGGCCGATGATCTTCCTTTTGGTTGTCATCTCCAAGCAGCATACTGAAGGAAAAGGGGAGAAAACACAGGTTATTGAAACCAACAGCATTTTGGGGACCCTTTCTTTAGATTTATCATCAAGTCTGCAGTCCATGAATACAGTTATCCTGAGAATCTCTGCATATTGCAGTTCTTCTTCTACCTTTCTGCAGAACATGGAGAAGTGTGACTTGCCAGTGGAATCACAAAACACAACCTCAATCCATCAGCTTTTCCCTACACCAGGACAGGACACACTCCAAGCCCAGCCACAACCATTGCTTGGTTTAACAGTGAAAATAACTGTGTAGAGCCAGAAGTACAATCATGTTCATCAAAGCACAGAGGGATGTGTCAGTCCCTGGATTGTGAGTCATGGTGGTGAATCAGGCACAGGTTCTGATTCTCCCTCAGAAATTAGTGTTACACCTGGTTCCTCTGACACCAGCAGAGTTTCTCAGCTTCCCACAGCCACTGCTGAGGCATTTCCACTGAGGAATAAAGAACACAAACTTCCCTCCTTACAGAGCCAGAACAAACACAACCCCAGAGCAGGTGGTTGGGTCACCTGCCATTCCTGCTCCTCTTGTACCACCTTGGGCTGCTGAAAACTCACAGAAGGGACATTTTCTACTGTAAAATAGACGTCTGGGAAGATTACCCGTTCCCAAACCTCTCCCATCCTTGATGCCAAATGTTGTAGACCCTCCCTCAGTTTGTGGGAGTACCTCTAACTCCCTCGAGTTTACAAAACTGGGTTTTATTACTTGTCACTGGAACAAAACATTTTAACTCACCACTGCCGAATGGAGAGTAGTCAGTAAGTAGATTTTATAATGTCAAGCAGTCCCTAAATCTGGAATAGATATTGACCTCTTGAGAAGTTATTTTAACATTATAGATAAATCAGTCTGTCCTGGAACATGTTATCACAAAGGCAAGAAGGGCTAAACATTCAAATGCCATTTTCTAAACCACTTACAAGGCTTTGAGTTATGTTTAGGGAAAAAACGCACTAAATTAGTCCAAGCAAAGCAAAATAAGGCTCACCATTCCCTCAACACCAATCTGTCCCCACTGATACCTGCACTGCATCTTTAGTTCCAGAAATCTTCACAAATCATTCAATCGACTGCGCAAGACCAAAAGAGACGAAAACTGACAGACCACTTGTCCCACAACACATAATTCCCAACCAGAGCCACCTCTGGAGCTGCCCAACCTCTTGGGATTCACACCAGGAAGCAATATAATTCAAACCCTGACACAGTAAAAATAAATGCCCTTGGCATAACAAATTATTTGTAGCTTTTCAAGCCATTGAAAGATAATGAACAACTGAACAGTGACATGGACTTCAAAAACTCCTTGGCAAACCCTTCTTCCCACAGGAATTACAAAGCACTTTGCTGGGCTTTATTCTCCTCTACTGTGGGCACAGGCATCAAACATACCAGTATAATAAAACCCCACAACAAAACCAGGATAAAAAAACAGCCAGAAAGTTTACAAATAGCCAAGTGATAGAACCACACTAAAAATAGCAATTACAGCAGCCAAACCAGTTTTTAAAGGTTTTTTTTCCTTTGCTTACACAAACAAGAGCATTTCTATTATTGCAGTTCATAAAAATAACTGTAATTTCTTCTTCAACAGAAAGTTGTTTTAAAAGCTAGAGGGAAAAAATGAAGCGGATAAACAAAAGTGAGTTAATTACTCTGCCTTCCTCGAAAGCTTTGGTAAGGCCTGACTGTCGTGATAAAATAGGTTTGTGGATTAATTGGATTATCTACTGGAAATGTCCTCTTCAGGACAATTCCAGATGTGAGTCAGAGAGATGAACAAGCTGGATATAAAAAGAGATTAATGTTTGAACAGCAAAGGAACTTGAACCTGAATTGTGGTGCATTGCTAAGATCCTGTGAGAAAATGAGTGTGAGGTGACTCCCCTACAGAAAGTGCTCCGGAGGGACTATTTGCTGCAGGAATGGCTACAGGAAAGGCTGCACTTCAATATATTTTGATAAGAAGTGGATTTGCATATGTCTGTAATCTGTTTCATTATTTACCCTTGGTAAATAAAAAGAAAACCACAGAAATGCTGAAAAATTTATTAAAAAATCCCCTGGGAATTCTATTGTTCTTTGCACCACAATGGAATTGAAGAGCCTTGAAAAGAGTAACATTTCATGCCCTGTGGACTTGGGGTAATTAAACCTTTTAGTAATTTCAGTATTATTAATTCTTACCCTGGACTAATTCCAGCCTTCATAATTACACTTTTCTTACCTACGTTTTGTTCTATCCTAATTTTCAGAGCTTTTCTTTCCTGAGGAAAGAGGATCAGCCCAACAGAGGCAGCAAAGAGCCACATCCCCGACTGCCAGAGCTGAGTCACATCAATGCTTCATCAAATTCCTTAATTCCTGCAAGGCTTCCCACCTCCTCATGGAAACACCAGTGCTCAGTGCTTTTCCCCATTTAAACCAGTGAAAGAACTGTAATTCTCCCTGGTGGGGATTAGAGGTCATTGCTCAACACGTCACACACGACACACTGAGATTATTCACTCCAAGAGAACTCAAAAATCATATTATTTTTTGAATGAGATAAAGAAACTACGAAAGAAGCACAAATATAACCTGCTACTTATCAGCTTCAAGCAAGCATCTCATTATCAGCATCTGCAGTTTGTTCTCTTCTAAAGAAAATCCTTAATCTAAGCAAAACAGGAGTTTTATGTAAATTAATTACAACAAAATATCATCTCTTCTGAATTAATGGATCTTTTGTGAGGCAAAGCCACTAATCCCTGTTTATAAGGAAGCACAAGAGAAGACGTTCCTTCCCTGATGCAAAGACAGCATGTTCACAAAACTGACTTAAAGATGGGATGAAACAGCCTGACAAACTCCAAACCTCCAAGAATCTTGGAAGAACAGGAAAGCAGCAGGGTTTTTTCAGAACACAAGATAGAAGAATTTCTTTTTTCATCGCAGAAGTTTTTTCCTCTGCAATGGGCCTACACATGATGAGAGGTACCCAGAGGGCAGGGTTAGATGGGATACTGGGGAGAAATTGTTGGCTGTGAGGGTGGTGAGGCCCTGGCACAGGCTGCCCAGAGCAGCTGTGGCTGCCCCATCCCTGGGAGTGCCAAGGCCAGGTTGGACAGGGCTTGGAGCAACATGAGATAGTGGAAGGTGTCCCTGCTCATGAAAGGGGGTGGGACTGGATGGACTTTAAGGTCCCTTCCAACCCAAACCACCTTGGAATTCCATGATGTTCTTCTAAAGAGTCAGCAGGGATCTGAAAAGCAGAGGAAGTTAAAATGCTACTGCAAAAAACCACAGAATTTGCCAATATATAATTGGTAGGATAAATCAATTGTAATTTTCTGTTTTTCAGGAAAGATTAATTATGGATTTAATTTTTCTACCAAACAAGTTTTCCATGTAACACTTCATTTAATTGTTCTCATCTCAGGGAGGTCTTGGCTTCCTGATGCACTGAATAACCTGAACAAAAATTCAAAGAGGACAAAACTCAGCAGCTACTGTGGGACCAGTCTGTGCTATGTGACAGGGTATAAAACATAAAAACCCTCATGGTCTTGAAATTCCCTTCAGAAAATTCCAAGAAATCACCGTTTCACTGAGCTGGTCATGCTAGAAAGTTACTGAGAAACCCTGAGAAATTAAAGAATTGAGAATTACTGAGAAAATAAAGAACTTGGAAGTGAGAATGGGAGCATTGCAAGGCTGAACTGAGCCATAATGGCAAATTTACCAGAGGGTTCAGAAAATATTAATTATATTCAAAGCAGCAGAGAAGTCGCTTCAGTGGCTCCTTTGTGCTACATCACAGATAAGTGATGATTTTTCTGTTCCTTCTTTCTTTCTCTTATTATCAGCACAATCAACAAAATCTGTAGGCAAGTAAGTTGGCTCTTTGCAGTAAGTTACATTATCCAGCTTGGAAATCACAAATATATCAATTACTGAACTGATACCACTTTCCATCCTCTCCTTATGGTTCTCCCAGAGGTGTTTTATCACTCAAGAAGAGATAGAAGTGCATAGTGGCTTCTCTAGAGCCAGAGCACCCCCAAAACCCCATCCCACTTGGAGTCTCCGAAGTGGAGACCCCCACCTGATCCCAGCCAAGGCCACTCATCCCTGACAACTCCCAGTGGATCCAGCACTCCCAGAGCTCAGAGCCAGACTGGACATGGACACAGCATCAGTTACTGACACGAGAGGAGGCTGAAACCCAAACTCCTGAGCTCTTTTTTTTCCTGGTATCACAGAACCATGGAATGGTTTGGGTTGGAAGAGACCTTAAAGGTCATCCACTTCCACCCCCTGCCCTGGGCAGGGACACCTTTCACTAGGCCAGGTTGCTCCAAGCCCCATCCAACCTGCCCTTGAACTCTTTCAGGGATGGGGCAGCCACAGTTTCTCTGGGCAACCTGTGCCAGGGCCTCTCCACCCTCACAGCCAACAATTCCTTCCCAATATCCCATCTAACCCTGACCTCTGGCAGTGGGAAGCCATTCTGCTGTGTCCTCTCCCTCCAGGCTCTTGTCCAAAATCCCTTTCCAGCTCTCTTGGAGCCCCTTTAGGCACTGGAAGAGGCCCTAAGCTGTCCCTGGAGCCTTCTCTTCTCCAGGTGAACACCTCCAGCTCTCCCAGCCCGTCTCCAGAGCAGAGGGGCTCCAGCCCTCGGAGCATCTCTGTGGCCTCCTCTGGACTCACTCCAGCAGCTCCACATCCTTCCTGTGCTGGGGACCCCAGAGCTGGAAGCAGCACTGCAGGTGGGGTGTCACCTGAGCTGGCAGAGGGGCAGAAAGCAGGATTGCAATCTCTGCTGCATCAATGCACCTTCCCACCCAGATATCTTCCGCGGAAAAAAAGAAAATCTTGATGGAAGGGCTGCTGCTTTTCAGACAAAGAATAAGCAGATTACATGTCATCAGAACTCCTTTTTGAATGGGAAAATGGTAATAAAATGCAAACTAGCAGGGAGGACTGATGTAAGAGTTATATAAGCACAGCTCTCCTGTCACAAGGACAGTGTTACAGCTATAGACAAGAGCCTTGGCTAGAATAAAGAATACAGAGTAGAGGTGTTAAAGTTACACAACTGGCTGAGCAAAGAAACAAATTAGTACAAACTCAGAGTTTCACACAAAACAGCCCTAAAATGATGCCCATAAAGGTGCACATCATAGAAGGGTGAGCAGCATATTTAAAAGGTGGATGAAGAGGTAGAAGAGATGGAGAAAGATTCCTTCGGCTCAGATCTGCAGAGAGAATCTTCCTCTGTTTTTTTTAAATCTCTAAATTATTAATAGGGTTGTGTTGCTAATTGAAATGTGGGGCTGGAAATTAAGATGACTCTGAGAGCTTTGAAGTTCCCTCATTATTTCAGTGACCCAGACTGGAAATGGACACTATGTAAATCATCTAAGCAGCACACATAATTAATTAGAAGGGAAGAAAAGTGGATGTCTGGCCAATGCCAGGAGAGTATCAGTGAGGAAAAGACTTTGGGCTGAAGGAAATGTAAGGGTTGTTTCATGTTTCTTTCTTTAATTCCAGCTTTGCTCCCTTTCTCAGCTTTGCTCCATTTCATATGTGTAGTCCCTGTTATTAACTCTCTTTTCAAAGAAAATATAACATAAATTCTGGCCTATTGGAACAAAGTGGGAAACTCCCAGTGCCTTCCTTAGGGCAGACAAGATTCTGTGATTCTCCACTGGAAATCACTATATACTTCATTTAATTTATACTTTTCCATACCCTGCTTAGGAGAAAGGATATTTGCCCAAAACTCCCTCCCCGGAGCCAGATGAGGGAATCAGGCAGGTCACTGTCACGTTCCAAAATCAGGAATTTAGATATTCCATGTGTATAAGCCATTTGTAATAGTTTTCATTAATCTTCCTGAAAAGATTAAGAAACTATGGTTCTGCAGTCACAATAAGAAGGAAGCTTCCAAAGGGGAATTGGGCTTATCAAAAAGAGGAGTGTGAAATATTCTCTGAATTGTTTTCTTGCACAGATAACCAGCATATCTCACCCAGAAATGCCATTTAATGCAGGATAATTGAATTCCCTTCATTATATTCCCATTACAATAGTCTGCATTCAGGTTCATCTTCAGATTTTGCTAATCCTAAAATAAAATAACCAAGCATGAATAATCAGATTTCAGCTTTACCTTTTGTCTCTCAAGAATATTAATGATGGGAAGTTTCAATCTCTTTGCTACAAGCACCTTGAGATTTGGGACTTTTGCAAAAAGAGTAAAATTTAAGATAGAAATATTTCTACAAAGTATCAGTTCTTACCAGAATTACCAAACCTTACACCCCTCTTCGTGATATAAGACCAAATCTTTATCTTTTCTTATAAGATATTAATTAATTCCAAGCTTTACTATTGGCCTTGCCTTGAAATTTCTAGACAGAAATTTTCTGACTAAATGATTTTTAGACAATCTTAATCATAGGTGATAATACCAAGAACAAAAACATTTTAATGACAGCAAAAATAGTTGCTATGGTTGGTTTTATTATTAAAAACCTGTATCCTGTTCTCCCTAAAGACAGTTTTTGCATAACCTCAAGGAAAACTCCAGTTTTGTGCAGATTTTTAATTGAACCAGCAGAGTTTCAGTAATTTGTTGCATATTAGTGGCACATGTTTAAAATTAATCATTATGCTCTTAATTGCTAGAAATTACAACCAGTTTGACAGCTCACCCTGCAGACATTTAGGCAGGAGAGAATCCCAATAAATGTGAGAAATTTCTTTGGAGAGTGTGCTGTCTGGAAAGCAGGGAATTTACATCTCAACTTGGATCTTTGATGTGTTTCAGCTTTGATTTGAAGTAATCCTTTAGTTTAAAAGATTAGCTGGTATGAAATTTAGACTGAAATATGCTTTATTTCTTGTTTTATGGTACAATGGTTGGAACTGCTCTGCAAAGGAACAGCAGAGAAAACATCATTTACCTGCTAAATGCATCAACTAAACAAATTGGTATTTAAATAGGAGCAATACAACTTTCATTAAGTCTAGGTTTCTTCCTCAGAGAGGGCCAGGATCCTACAGAACACCCAATTACTTTTCAGCACTTTACATCCCAATCCATCTGCATTATTCCTGACATATTAATCAGCTTAGCAGCAGCTTATTGCAGGAAAACTGGGGTTATTGTGCTGATCTGGCAGAACAAGAGTTCCAGAGATGATGATGTGCAGCTACAAACTGCTGCTGAAAAAGAAAGTTTTAATTAAAAGTGACAACTGTAACTCCCAATGAAAGCTGATCCTCTGGCAGAAGCCAGGCACAGATGTGGAATCATGGAATCATTAAGGTTAGAAAAAATCTTAAAATCGTCAACTGTCAACCAGCACCACCATTACATCATGTCCTCAAGAGCCACATCCATAGGTTTTCTGAACAATTCCAGGTATGAGGACTCCACTCCTGTGACAGGGCAGGACAGCCCTTTCCTGGAAGGAATTTTCCCAATATCCAACCTGACCCTTCCCTGGCACAGCTTGAGGACATTTCCTCTCATCCTGTCCCTTGTTCCCTGGGAGCAGAGCCTGACCCCAACCTGACTCCACCCTCCTGTCAGGGAGTTGCAGAGAGACAGAAGGTCCCCCCAAGCCTCCTTTTCTCCAGGCTGAGTCCCTCCAGCTCCCTCAGCCACTCCTGGTGCTCCAGACCCTTCCCCAGCATTTTTCCCTTCCCTGAACATGCTCCAGCCCCTCAGTGTCTCATCACGAGGGACAAAGGACCTTTCTCCTCCTCCCTGTTACTGCTGCCTCACTCAGGTGTGGATGGGGCAGTCACTATATGACTGAAGTCCAAAACAGGAGAAGATAAAGTTCATTTTCAACACATAACACTTACTTGCTTAGTCATCTGTAATTCTGAAACATCTGAAATCCATACAACAAACTGCTTAGAAAATGTGAGTTGCTTGCTCCCCCGTGGAAATGTTCACATCCAACCACAAAACTTTTTGAAAAACCTTTTCCTCTCTGAAAAAAATGGGATTTTTTTTTTTTAATCATTGAAACATGCAGTTCTGATGCCATGCCAGGTTTTCTGCCAACCTTCTCCACCACTCCAACTCTGCCAGTAGTTTCTATCCCATAAATCATCGCTCCTGTGGATATCCCTCCTATTTCCCAGCAGTTATCTGGGTGAGTATCTTATTCTTTAGTCTTTTCTGGTTTTCCAGATATTCACCAGCAATAACTTCTCATCTGCCCCATCCTCTCCTTCCTTCCCCATCCTAACACTTGTTGATTCCACCCCTTCACACCCCAAGCACAGGTTTTCCATCCAAACCCCTCCACCCTTCAGCTCCCCAACACATCCACATGTGGTTTTTAAGTTATGCACCACTACAATTGTTTCCAAAAGTCAGGCTGCCTCTCTTTACTATATAACCATCCCCACCTTCTCTGAGTCCTTACATAAACATCTAAGTTTTCCCACTGAACCGCACAAACAAGTAATTTAGTTCTTACCATTGTTCATCACTACTAAAAAATTTCTCCCCTTTATTCCATATTCTACATTTTGACAAAAAAACCAAAAAACTCCTTAGTGTCCATGAGTTCCTCTTTCTTCTGTTATTCTGTGCCCCTTCCTGGCTGTGGATACAATATTTTTCCAGGGCTCCCCATTTTTTCCACTGTCCCCATTAGTGCTGTGCTGGAAGATGCTTCCATATCTGTCCATTAATCGGATTATGGGAATGCAAAAGTCTATTCTATGTCTGGAGTGCAAAATGTCAGCACAAGTGAAATCTCAAAGGCTTAATTCCCAAAAGTAGCCATGAAAATTGGTTGCTGAATATGAGAACACAATTCTATATTAAAGCAGACATTGATCTCTATAAAATACCCCATTGCCTATGAATACCTATTTCAATGTATATCATAGAATTATGGAATTACTCCATGATTCCATGATTCTGATTGCCTACACAACCATCAGAGATCACAAGAATGATATAATGTAGTACTGGTAAGTGATTTCTTAAAATTTGATTTCTTTTCCCTAAGGAAATCTGTGGGCGGCACATTCTCACTTTCTCTCAGAAGCCCAGTTTTTAACACTTAAATGCATTCTCTGTTTGTGGTTTAAACATGTTTTGCCAGTGCTGGTTCCCCCAATCATCTCAAGATGAATTCAGAGCAGCCTCGCTGTCTGAAATTAAATCATCTCCTTCCTTGGGGAGTGGGGGTGGAGGGGGGGCCTTTCCCTGCAAACACCAAGCTCCCAATCTGCAGCAGCACCAGTGCCACCAGCCCAGCCCACAGTGCCATCAGTGTCAGCCCTTGTACAAGAAAACAGCAGATTTAAGGGCACCTTCAGGACAGCTCCTCTCTCTTCCAAGGAAATGACTGTGCCAGGAAGCTTTGGCTTTCTAAATCCGGAAAAAAAAAAAGCCCTACCAGAGCTCTGTCCTCAAAGAACAACAAACAAGCTCTGCACAGGGCCAGGAGTTGGACTGCAATGATCCTTGTGGGTCCCTTCCAACTCAGGATATTCTCTGATTCCAGGATTGGCTGACACAACCCCCGCTCCCTTTTAATACATTAAAAATGAATAAATAAATATTCACCCGTTTGTGGATGTAAACTCGTTATCAAGGTCCAGATTATCATCTTAGGTCAATCACTCTCAAAATACTGCAGACAACACCACTCTACATTTTAGCGACTGGAATACCTAAAAACTCAGGTTTATTATGCAGTAGGTATAAGAACAAGCACGTTTAAGGGCATCATAGCAAATAAAGGTTTCTGCTTAGTTTGCTCCATCCTCCTCCAAAGCCTCTGACATCAATCCTGGCACTGACACATGCTGGAAGGGGTTCACGTTCAATCAACAATGTCAGAAACCAAACCAAGAGAGGAGGCTTGATGGTTGGGGGGGAAAGAACAAGCTGTTAGTAAATATTCTCTGTAGGTTAATTTTCTAACTCACAGAATCCCAGAATCACTGAGGCTGGAAAAGCCCTCCCAGCCCATTTAGTCCAACCTGTGCCCGATCCCCACTTTGTCACCCAGCCCAGAGCACTGAGTGTCACATCCAGTCATTCCTTGGACACCTCCAGGGATGGGGACGCCACCACCTCCCTGGGCAGCCCCTTCCAATGCCTGACCACCCTTTCCAGGAAGGAATTCATCAGCAGAGGGCTCTAGAACTCCATTCTCTTAAGTATCCTGTTCTCTCCCATGATTAATCTGTCCCAGTTTTTTTTAGTCAATTAACATGCTGTTCTTATGGTACAAATGTTCTCTAAAAACCCTCTCACAGCTGAGCTGTCAAACACTGAAATTCGGTATATTGGAATGGCAGGTTTTTAACAAAGTCCCAGAGTTTGTAAAGTATAATCAGAACTTTAATGCCCAATTATGCAATCTTAGCAATGACTTTCTGAAGAGAATTTTATCGCTTTTATTGTAAACGGGGCTCATCAACCAGAACTGTACCAAATTGTTCCTCTCCAGAAATACAAGGGCTTGATTCCTAATGGAAGGGTTTAGCAGATAATTGGGAATTGCAGGTGTGGGTACAACAGTTCTGGAAGATTCAAACATTTTGCCACATTCTTTTCATTCAGCTATTTGCTTTGGGGTTTTTTTTAGTATTTCCCTTGTTTATCCTAAACATTCCCTCTTATAAAACATAAGGACTTGCCTTGTCCCAGCTCATTTAGTTTAGCAGACACTCCAAGGGCTAAAACATCCCCAGAGCAAGCACAAGGAATGCTAAATGTCCAGTGTCACAGCTTGGAGCAAGATTAAAAACCACGGACATAGAAGCAGACAAAATTTGAGCATCCACCCACCTGCTGAATTAAGTCCTACCTGGATATGGGCAAGAGGAGCCCTCTGGCTTTGATTTTTCTGGCGGTAACTTATAAATAAACACAAGATTTCCATTGTACAATCTTCTCTGGTGACCAGAAATGTGAAAAGGAGCCCATACCGGGCCCACACAGAGTTATGAGCCTAGGGAAGAGAAATATGGAATTTCCAGTCCTGGACTGAATTAGCACAATGATGGTATTTTAATGGACACACTTTCCATACCAGGTATCAAATGTTTGAACATATCAAATTATTTAGACAACTACAAAACAAACCAGACCCACCACTGCAGGAGGTACTACACTAATACAAGTAAAACCAAGAAATTACACCCAAATCTCCCTGGATTACACCTAGGCCACAATATTCGTACCAAAGCTTGGAAAGGTGTTCTAATATACTCCAAATCCCAATTTAAAATGCTCAAGTTAATTGCCAATATTATAATTCCATCTGTTTCAGAGTACAGGTGCATTTTATAAAGATTTAACTCATTTTTCTGAACTGCATCAATCCAGTATTTCATACACCTTTTTCCACAACCAAACTGAATAATCCCTGTTTTTCAGTGTAAGCAAAAGAATTGAGGGTTTTCCTTATGCTTTTACAATTTTATCCAGATAGTTTATGATTTCATCAGTTTATTTCCATTCTAATTATTCCAGCACCATTTCTACTGATAACTCTGAAAACCAGTAGTTGATAAATGTTCCCACATGGTACCCAATATTCCAGTGCTCTTTGGTATTTGACAATTTTATTTGACTCATCAAAACACTTTTATGCTCATTTATATTGAAATATTTACAACAGATTTGTAATTTAATGGGTGAAAGGTCCTTTGTCACTTTTCAGCCTATGTGGATTCTCTTTGTGAGACCCAGAGAAGGCAATTAAAGGGTTCCTGTAGGGATATGGATGTTCCCCTCAAAAAAACAATTAAAACCACCACATTAAAAATACACTGAATGATATACATTAAAGTTTTTAGTTTGGGTGACTATCAAACAACACTGCATTTATTAATCTACCACAGCTCTTACAACTTGGAGATGCATCTGCCAATATCTAATTATACACATAATTTCTTTGAGTTTCATGAAGGCAAAATAAAAATTCAACCCCTCCACGGCCTAAAAAAGATAAACCCCATCCTACTAGGACTTAATTTAATGGAAAGAAAGGAATTTACATAAAAAAATATAACAATGCCATCTATTGCCTGGGAAATAGGAAACAATGAGAGAAGTTGTGGGTGCATCAGTTCTGGAAGTGTTCAAGGCCAGGTTGGAGCAGCCTGTTTTGTGGAAGGTGTCTCTGCCCATGGCAGGGGGTGAGATGAGATGGGCTTTAAGGTCCTTTCCAACCCAGAACATTCCTGGATTTTGGGATTGATCTGACAGGATTTCAATCCCAGAATTTCCAGCTGGTTTTGACAGCTTTCCACAGTGTTGTCAGGCAAAAGACGCACTTGCAGAAAACTCTTCTGCAGGAGATGCTGCAAAAGCCAGGAAAAGGTCCCATGAAGCTCTTTCCAGTTTCTCAGCCTCAGCTTTTTGGTGAGATTCACTGGTTTAAAGGCATCTAAATACAAACTGAAAAAAGCAAATAAAAAAAGAATAGCATTGTGCACAGCGTGTCAGCTGCCTGTTGAATAAAAATGCAGGGCTAAAAATTGAGGACAGCCAAGAGAAGGAGAGCAGGACAACTGGCCACTACTGGAATGGAGAGAAAACAAAGAGAATTTGGAGTGGAACAAACATGAAAGAATCCAGAAACACATGAAAAATCAGCAGTTTTCAAGATGATCACAGAGACATGTAAGAGTAGATGGAGGTAGGACAGGGATGGAATAAAAGCTGGACAGAAGCTTAGGGTAAAGCATTTAGGCAATACCCTAGAGAGAAGAAACTGTAAATGCAGCAGAGGGAGGCAATGACAGCTCCATGATGAATCAGTGCCCTCTGATATCACAGTGACCCCCTCAACCCTATTTAAAGAGGTGATTATATATATTCAATATATCTAATATTCTAAAAGACACCCTAACTCTGGTTGTTAAAGTCTTTCTGTTCCATTTCTGGGAACATTACAATGTAGATATGACATTATTATGTAAGCATATATAATTTAAATATATGAGCATAATAATGTAGAGATTTTTCACCTTTTAGAAAAAGTGAAAAGCTTGACCCTTTTCAGAAAAGCTTGCCGCAGCTTCCCTGGGTCAGGTGCCATCTGGATCAGGATGCCCCGGGTGCAGGACTCCAAGTGCCACTGAACCGCACGAGGAGCTGAACATGAACATCTGAATCTCAGCCCCAACAAGGGAAAAACATTTGGAACAGCTTGGAGTGCATCCCATTTCTCCCTCCCACCAAGGAAAACAGATGGTATCAGAGAGATGAACAACATCCTAATGCTACTGTTCTGAGAGGATAAA